CACATTCCAAGCACAAATTAAGAAATGCAAACAGAACAAAAAAATATATATATATATAATTTTTTCTCCTATCCAAAGGTTTCAAGTCTCAATGCAGCAAATCCTTCTGAACACAGAATCTGAGGAGCACACTGTTCAAACAGTTGGGACAAACAGGTCCCTGCAAAGGCTACTGCCTTTTAAACACATGGGGTGGGGATCATGGACGGCATGGAAAGAAGAGAGAAGGTGAGGAAATGGGAGAGGAAGAGAGGATGAACAGGAGAGGATGAAAAGGTATGAGCTGGGGAAGATGGGGCAGCTGGGACACACACATGGTGAGTTGGTGGATTTCATTTATTGGTTTTTGACAATTTCTTTCTGGTTCTTTTTTAGTTTCCCCCCTCCCCAGGTCCAACAATGGTAGAAAAACCCCCACAGAGGTGGGCAGGGCCTTATTAGGCCAGCCCAAAGCCTTCAGAGCACTCCTGGATGGCCAATAGTAGCATGTGGCGGAGCTTCTCAAAGCTCTCATAGGCAGGCAGATCCAGTTGATTAAAACTAGGGAAAGAAGAAAGATCAGACTGTGACAAAAGATGATAACCAAATCCCTGTGTTGCCATGGTGCCCAGTGACCCCTCCCTCCCTAAGGGAACCTACTCCTTGCTTCTTCTGACTCCCAATCTTGCCCCAGCCTGGTCTTCCCGCCTCTATCTGGTCTCCAAAACCGGCCATGAGGTACCAATAACATAAATCTGATCCTGTCACTGCTCTTTAAACAACATGGCCTCATCTACAGGCTAAGATGCAAGCTCTAAAGAAGCATTCAGGGCCACTTATGATCTGACCTTCGCTAAGTTTTTCAGCCCACTGCCCCCTACAATTCCCCTTCAGCCATGCTGAGCTCTGGAATACACCATGCTGTCTGGTGGTGTTCACCTGCCAATGTCTTCCCAACCCCTACTCTGTGTTTAGCCCATCAATCTCACCTATCATCTTCTTCATAAAACCACCAAATTGTGAGCTATCCAAGGTCCACGGCTGGGCCATTTTCTTTTTGAGTCAGGGTCTCACTCTTTCACCCAGGCTGTAGTGCAGTAGCACAATCACAGCTCACTTGCAGCCTCGACACTGGACTCAGGAGAGCCACCTCAGCCTCCTGAGTCGCTGGAATTAGCCACCACACCTGGCTAATTCTTTTTTATTTTTATTTTTTGAGATGAGGTCTTGCTATGTTGCCTAGGCTGGTCTCAAACTCCTGGGCTCAAGAGATCCTCTCATCTTGACCTCCCAAAGTGCTGAGATTACAGGCATGAGCCACTGTGCCTGGCCATGGACTGGGTCATATTTGTGTTCCTAACCTTGGGTAGGGGCCTAGGAGGCATCAAGGATGCAAGCTCAATCTTAGTGCTGGCTGAAAAGGGGAAACAAAACCTTCCTCTTACCACGTGTGAGCTGAAGGGAGGCGATCTGTGGACCTGTCATCTCGATGGATCTGAAACTTCTGAATGCCATTCATGCCTTCGAGGGCAGCAAAACCTTGCAGGGGCACTTTGGAAGTACCTGTGACAAACTGGAGGAACTTGGCACGGTCAGCTTGGTCAAAAGAACGCAATGCTCTCCAGAACCATTGGATCTGCAGGGACACAAGAAGCTGGCATTAGGTAGTGAGCTCCTAGAAAGGGTAAGGGCGGGGGATAGAATTTGGGAAATGGGATGGGACTTAAAATCTTGGGCAAATC